CATCAGTACCACAACTGTAAAAAAAAAAGAGGAGGAGGGAAAAGAAAAAAAAGGAGGGGGGAGGCCTTGGCTGTGGAGGGCGGGGCCTAAGCAAGGGTGGAGTTTGGGCAGTGGGCAGGGCCTATGCTCAGACCCACAGGGCTGGAAAAGGCCCTGGGGGCTGTTGTGGGTGGGGCTTAGGCTCAAGGAACAGAAGGGCCCAGGCATGCCCCACACCCCTGGTCTCGGACGGTGGAGGACCTCACCTGGGAGCCCAGCAGGCTTCCTGGGCTCGAGTGGGCGGGGCAAAGGCCCTTCTCTCCTCTCCTCTCCTCTCCTCTCCTCCTTCTCCAGTCTTGGAGGGCCTCTCCCGCCTGCCTCTCCTGGTCTCCCTGGCCTCCCTCCTATGCCCCCAAGGACCTACGCGGCCTGGAGGGGGCTCTGAGGGCAGCGGATCAGCCTGGGAGCTCAGCGGGCTCCCCGGCCTGAGTGGCGCTGGCGATTGCCCTCTGCTCCTTTCCTAGTCTTCCCAGAGAGTCCCTCCCGCCTGCCTCTCCTGATCTCCCCAGCCTCAGAGGCGCCAATCCTGTCTGGCCTCCATTTCTCCTCCCCCTCAGTCCCGCTATGTCCTACCGGTTCACTTTGGGGTTCCTCCCATCTCCTTGGGCGTCAGAGTCCCCCACCAGCAGCCGTTAGGCTCCCTAGTTGTGGGGAGACGCTAACTCGGCATCTTCCCACCTGCCATCTTGACTCTGCCTCATTACAGGTACATTTGATATGTGACACCAAAGGCAAAAGCCACAAAATCAAAATTATGTACATTAGCCTTCGATAAAATAAAAAACTTTACTGCTTTTAAGAAAACTATCAAGAACATGAAAAGACAATTCACAGAATGGGAGAAAATATTTGCAAATCATATATCTGATAAGGGACTTGTGTCCCAAATATATCTTTTAAAAAACCTCTTAAACTCAACGATAAAAAGACAACCCAATTTTAAAATAAGCAGAGGATTTAAATACACATTTCTTCCCCCCACCAAAAAAAAATATATATATATATAATTGTCCACTCAGCACGTGAAAAGATACTCAATATCATTACTTATTAGAAAAATGCAAATCAAACCCACAGTGAGATATCACTTCACTCTCACTGGGATTGCTAAAATAACAAAGACAGACAATAACAAGGGTTAGCAAGAATATGGAGAAACTGGAACCGTCATATATTGCTGGTGGGAATGTAAAACGGTGCAGCCACTTTGGAAAAGTTTGGCTGTTCCTCGAAAAGTTAAACACAGTTGAGGATATGGGGAGGGGGAAGGGTAAGCTGGGACGAAGTGAGAGAGTGGCATGGACATATATACACTACCAAACGTAAAATAGATAGTTAGTGGGAAGCAGCCACATAGCACAGGGAGATCAGCTCGGTGCTTTGTGACCACCTAGAGGGGTGGGATAGGGAGGGTGGGAGGGAGACGCAAGAGGGAGGAGATATGGGGATATATGTATACATATAGCTGATTCACTTTGTGATACATCAGAAACTAACACACCATTGTAAAGCAATTATACTCCAATAAAGATGTTAAAAAAACAAAAAAAGACCTCCAGGTCTTTGAACCCTGTGTTAGCCAATTCTTTATTATAGGCTCACGGAAATTGCTTTAAAAATGCGCAGTTCTTCCAGATATTTTAAACTTTATCTTCAGAGGAAGCCAGATCATCAGAGAGCTATATAGCTGGTCTCTAGCGTAAGTTTTCAGTAAATTGCAATTTGGTCATATTAGTTTAATGTGTATCTATAGCATCCACAGGAAAATGATAATTTCATGATTGTATGCATATATTTATAGCTCCAAACTTTTGAATACTTATTCTGTATTGTTATGCTGGGTGCTTTAAGTGCATCATTTAAATTTAATCCTCCCAACCCTCCCTTGGAGTAAATATTACCTCCGTTTTACAGGTCAGGATACTGAAGCTCAGACAGGTTACACAGCTTGTAAATGGCAGTAATAGGATTCAAACCCAGGTATATCTGATTTTTAAATCTGGTGGCCTTACCCACTAGGGAAGCAATTGGGAAATTTCCCACCATATCACACTACACAGCCTTAGCATTTGTATAATAAATACCTTGACAAGCATTGTTAACTTTTAATCTTATTCTTGGTTTTAACCTTTTCCCCTATTTTTATCAATTCAGTGATTTCCTCAACTATTTACTTTTATACCATTGTAATAATATATTTTTAATAAAGTGCCTAAAATCCTTTTGGATTTATATTCCATTGAGGTACAAAGAAAAAGAAATGAAAGCCCCTCTGAAATCCCGTAATTACTTTTATTTAATGTTGGCTGGGGTTTTCTCGTGTTATTTGCTTTCATTAAATTTTCAGGTTTTTGTTCTAGTGTACACACTGCTTAAGTTATGAAATAACTGAGGAAAGCCTTCTACTTTAAACTGTCCTCTGGTGCTTCTAAACGCAATGAGTAAATTTTACCCTAGGCTCGCACAGGCAACACATATTTAGCCTCAGCATAATCAGATATTTGAGGAAAGGGAGGGAGAGTAAAAGTAGTTAATAAATGAAAGTTCGTAACAGAAACTATTGTGAAAATCCCATTAGTTTGTTCCCTTACTTAAACTGGAACAGGGTATGACACAGTTTACAGAATCCCCGAGGTCTACTTTTTGGTGCCCTGTAACCAGATCTCTTTTCACTGTTCTTTAGATCCTGTTCTAAAATCCTAAAGAAATTTCTTGTCCACTGTAGAAGGTGCAGGTGATTTCCTCATAGGAATCACCATCCTTTGTCATTTTTAGAAGCTCCTCTTCTGTACCATGCTGTCTTTTCTAGATGGCCCACAGTCCTGTGTTCCCAACAACCTGGTGTCAAACAGCCATTCGAATAGAACATTCTGCCTCCCTGGTTTCAAGCGATTTTCTTAGTAACGCTAAGTGTTGGTCAACACGGATCTGGCTTGGATTTGGCTGTGTGGTGTCAGGGTGCAAAGATTTGTGAACGCATCACATTTTTTCACTCTAGCAGTGCTTTGTTTCGCTGTCTTATCAAGGAACTCATCTTACACTTGCAGCCACCTTCGCCTTTCTGACGTGCTCTGCTGTGGCAGCCCTGTTGCTAACAATTTCAGGGTTTAATTAGCTGAGACACAGAAACCATTTTCCCCTTAAATTCCCAGACAGTGATTTGGCAAAATGAGATCTACTAGATTTAGGGTAAAGATGGAAAAGAGAGAACAGATTAGGTATCATTTCATGCTAGTTGGGTGTTATTACGTGAGAACAGTAAATGTTTCACTTCGTTATTTCCAGTTCAAATCGTTAGTGCAACTCAAGCAGAGATACAGGAAAAAGAGAAATTACATAAATATTCTTTGAAAATTTTTTATTTTGAATTATACACACACAGAAAGACTGGGGCAAAGATTCATCTGCTTGCCATTTGCATTATACTAGCTCCCCCAACTAAGAGTTTTCTCGTGTTATAAAGTAAAGCAATTCTCTGTCATGAATTTCTTCCTTTTTCAGGGACTCACGTCAAAATATTTAAGAATGCTAGTGGGCCTACGGGCCTGGCACAGAAAACTTTTATGTAAAGTTTATCAGATAGAGCATTTGGGAGCGGGAGGATCCCAGGGGGAGAGAAAATTATTAATGAAAAGTACCAGGCAGGTTAAACTACCACCACTCAACATCCTAGTGGTTCTGGGAAGGTTCTGCCTATGTTTTTCCTTCAGGTCTTTCATATTTAGAAAGTACTTTTTTCTTACTAAACAAAGTGAATCTGTTAAATAATAATTCAGCTCCCCACTTATACTTATCAACAATAAACAAGTGTCAAATTAGAACACATGATAAATATGAGATGACAATGGTGTTCTGGCAAAGACAAATCCAACGATGAAACTTTATAGCGGGTAAACGTATGATTTTCATCAGATTTTTTTGTCAGATTCTGAATACATATTCCCGTTAATGTTTCTTTGTGCTCAAGGAGCCCAAAGAGAGAGCACTTGTAAAGAAAGTCAAGAGGGTAAGAAAACCATAAGGAATAGAGAATCTGGGGTAAGGGAGGAGGTCCACGGGCTTCTTCTCTTTGGCATCCTCACCAAATTATATACAAGTTTTTCATATGGGATCTTACTTGTGTATCTTGAAACTTTCTCACTAAAACCATGTTCCACTAGCTACCAAGTTTCGAGTCCAGTCTGGTTAGGTCACAACAAATGTCTCTATGGCATCACTGAGCTTGTTTGTGATCGAACTAGAATGAATTCAGTGTAACATGGAGTTACTCTGGCTCCTTGGCATGGGGCTCTGGAATGGCAGAAGTAAGATTTTAACTGTTAGCAGGAAAGGAAAAAAGTTCTCAGTCATTGCAGCTCTATTCTTAGAGAAGTGTCTGCACCTGGGGCTCTCCCCAGAGAGAGAGGCACACCCTTGTCTTGCAGGACTCTGGGCCCCAGCAGGTTGCACTTCCTCCTGTGCTCAGAGCTCCTCCTCTACCTGCTCTGCTCAGACTTAGAAGTGGATATTCCCATTTTACTGTTTTTGTGCATTTTTAACATCCGCTGAGGCGGCCTCCACCGCATGATGAGTTGCCTGTCAGCTGGGCTGTCCAGGTTATCTCTGGAGGTACCACTTCCTGTTTGTGTTAGTGCTTTGGTTACAAAGATGTACAAGTTTTGAGAGGTTTACTAGTACTTACATTGCGTACAGTACAGTACTAGTACTGTAAGCAATGTTCTTTTTAATGAACATTTTTACAGAATGCATCATTTTTCAGGAACATGTATCTTGTATTATAATAGAAATCCTGTACTTTGTTTATACTTAGTGGATGCTTAATAAATGCTGACAGATTATTCATAAGTAATTAACTATATCACAAGAATTTTAAAAAGCGATTCCAAGGAATGACTGTGTTGACAGTGAACCAAATTGCAAGATCACTTGACTTTTCTAGAATATAAAATCTTTAAAAGTCATAATTTGCATGATATAGTTATCACTACTATTTTAGAGAAGCAAAAGCTAACTTTTCATTTTCAAAGACTGATGAACAATCATCCATTAGCTCCTGAAGCTGAATAACAGGAAACTGTACTTGTTTTTCAAACCATTTGGCAACTGTAAGAAGCTGCTGGTCACAAAATGCACGTCCAATAAACTGTAGTCCGATTGGCAACCCTTGGCTTGAGAGGGCCATAGGGACACTCACTGCTGGCAACCCTGAGGAAAAGAAAGAGACCCATTAAATGTTGATTAATTCTCCACCCTAAGATGCAGAGACCTCTTCCACTTTCCAGTGCCAGTAGGTACAAGACAAGGTTAATGAATAAGAATCACAAAAATTATATGTATGCTTCTGTATCTTCCTTTGTTCATTTAATATCTTAGAAATCACTGTATATCTGTTCACAGAGACCTTCTTCATTCCTTTTTTATAGCTGCATAGTATTCCATCATGTGCTTTTACCATAATTTATTCAACCATTCTTCTGTGGTTGGAGATTTTGGTTGTTTTCGGTATTTAGCTATTTCATGCCAAGTCCCAGTGAATTACCTTGTGTATTTTTCTGGTATTCCAGAACGTTTCTCAGCTGAAGAGGAACTGTTTCATCAAAAGATAAATGCATATGTAATTAGATATTTTGCCAACTTTCCCTCCAAAAAAGTTGTACCTTTTCAACTCCTATCAGCAAAATGAGTGTTTTCCTACAGCCTCACCTATAGAGTGTGTTGTTCAGGTTTTGAATTTTTGCCAATTTGTTAGATGAAAAATAGAAATTCAGGGTAGTTTTAATTTTAGTTTTGGGAAGAGAAAGTAGGACAGCCTGGGACATCTTGTTATGCCATAAAATAAGAAAGTTTTCAAAAATTAATGGGGGCTGGTCTAAAGGATACGCAACTGTTGATTAAATTTGAGCATCAAAAATAATGACAGTTAATTGCTTATAATACATTGAATTCTTTTAAAAAAAGAAAGCTTTTTTAAAAATTATGTTTTCTTTTTTAAAATTAATTTATGTATTTTTTGGCTGCGTTGGGTCTTCGTTGCTGCTTGCGGGCTTTCTCTAGTTGCGGCGAGCAGGGACTACTCTTTGTTGTGGTACACAGGCTTCTCATTGCGGTGGCTTCTCTTGTTGCAGAGCACGGGCTCTAGCCGTGTGGACTTCAGTAGTGGCACATGGGCTTAGTAGTTGTGGCACGCGGGCTCAGTAGTTGTGGCACGTGGGCTCAGTAGTTGTGGCTTGCGGGCTCTAGAGCGCAGGCTCGGTTATTGTGATGCACGGGCTTAGTTGCTCTGTGGTATGTGGGATCTTCCCAGACCAGGGCTCGAACCCATGTCCCCTGCACTGGCAGGCGGATTCTTAACCACTGCGCCACCAGGGAAGTCCCAGGAAAGCTGTTCTTTAGAGAAGGCTGCTAGCTAACATATGTAGAAGGAATGGTAGAATTAGAAAAGTCAGCATTTTGTAATTCTCTAAGTAATACTTAATTCAGGCAAGGATCATCAATAGATGCTAAAAGTGGGTTCAAGTTTATTGGGAAACACTGTCTCAAAGTATCACATCACCAACTGCTTACAACTGACAAAAGGAAAATGTGCCTTTATAAGGAAAATATCTGGTAGTTACTTCCTTAACCAAGGGATTAACGTAGCTTCCAAAAGTGGGACAAACTGATATTTAACTGTTCCTTGACATGAAGCATATGTAGTATTTGTACCAAAAATGTTTAACTCAACCTAATCATGAGGAAGCAGTCTGACAAATTCAGATTACAGATGGGATATCCTACAGGTCAAGTGGACTAGACTCCTCAAAAGAGTCAATGTCACTTAAAACAAAAATTTTAAAAGGTTGGGTATTTCTTATCAGTAACTATGCAGGCCAGAAGAAAGTGGCAGGGCATTTTTTAAGTGCTAAAGAAAAGAACTGTCAAATCAGAATCATATATCCAGCAAAAATAACCTTTAAAAATGAAAGGAAAATCAAGACATTCTCAGAAGAAAGCTAAGAGAACTGGTTGCCAGCAGACCTATTCTAAAAGAATGGCTAACTGTTCTCCAAACAGAAAGGATATGGTAAAACAAAGGATCTGATACATCAGGGAGAAATGAACACAGTAAATAAAAGTATAGATAGATAAATACAACAGACTTTTCCCTCTGCCCTTGAGTTTCCTTCATTATGTTTGATGATTAAAACAAAAATTGTAACAGTCTGATGTGGTTCAGACTGTTATATAACATACAGAGCTGGGGAACTGTTCTAGACTTTAAGAGATATCATAAACAGATATAATATATCGGGGAAAACACCCTATAAAAGGCATTTTTGGTACAACTGAGGAAAGTTAAATATGAACTGTATTTGGAATATTATTGTATTTGTGTTAGTTTTCTTAGGTGTGATGATGGAATTGTGGTTATGTAGGAGAATGTCTTTATTCTTAGACGATTCATGCTAAAGTATTTAGGGGTGAAGTAACACGATGTTGAAACTTTCAAACTAATTCAAATAAAAGCTAAGAGTGTGTGTGCGTGTGTGTGTGTGTGAAAGAGACAGAGAGAGAGGAAGGAGAAAGCAAGTGAGGCAAAATGTTAACAAGGATGAATCCAAGCAAAGGACATATGGGTATTCATTATACGACTTCAACTTTTCTGTAGGTTTGAAAATTAATGTATGTGTGTGTGCTAAGTGCAAGCCTATAGACAGACGCACGCACACACAAACACACATTACCAAGCATTCCAGAAGGACAAGCTATTGCGTTTAGGGAGCAATCTAGCTAGAACCTAAGTCGAAGACCAGGGTGTCTACCTAAAAATTGAAGAAAACCAGAATGTTCTTGAGGGATCCTCACCTGCCATATTTACAGCCTGTGTAAAAAGATCATCCTGGGCACTTCGTGTTCTGTTGTCTTCTCTGATGAACTCTGTGTGTGGCACTGCCTCACTCAAGGTGGTAGGAGTTAGCAAGACATCCACTCCAGAGTTAAAAACATTCACAAAATCACGAGCAATGAGTCGTCTCACCTTCTGTGCTTTGACAAAATAATTCTCATAGTTTCTGTGGAAAAAAGTAGATGACACTTTAAGGGCTTTTTGTTATTTCTTTGAATCAATTCTCATGCATAAGGCTTGTTAAAAAAAAATAGATGACACTTTAAGGGCTTTTTGTTATTTCTTTGAATCAATTCTTATGCATAAGGCTTGTTAAAGAATCACTGGATTCTTGGCCTGTTGGAGCAGGCACCAGTAAGATTCCTAACAACACATAAAAATGAATTTTGCTCAACCGCACTGTTACTCTAAAAGTTTGTATATCTGGAATTAATTAAAAATCACCAGTAGATGCAATTCTGTACATATAATCACAAAATATTAACACTTCCAGGGACATCATTAAACCAGAACATTCATTTTCAGGTGAGGAAAATCAAGTGCATAGCAACTAAATGACTTTCTAAAGGCTGCAAAGATTGACAGGGGTAGAGGAAGGACTAGAACTTAGGTCTCTGGAGGCTCATTCCAATCCTTTCTATTATTATAATGTCCTATTTCATCTATAGTTATAATTATTATAAGGACTCTGAAGTTTTGGAAAATTCTAACATGCCATCAGAATTAGACACTAGAAACTAGCAAGCTCTGGACACAGTAACTGGGGAAAGTATGCAGTGTTTGCAATTTTGTACTTTACAGACAGGTATAGCCCAGGAATGGAAATGTGAAATTCATGAAAAGATGCTTCAGGCCTGCCTGCTGAATGGGAGAAGATATTTGTAAATGCTATATCTGATAAGGGGTTAATATCCAAAACATGCAAAGAACTCATACAATTCAACATCAAAAAAATAAACCAATTAAAAAATGGGCAGAGGCCCAGAACAGACATTTTTCCGAAGAAGACATACAGATGTGCCAACAGGCACATGAAAAGATGCTCAACCTCTCTAATCATCAGAGAAATGCAATTCAAAAGTACAGTGAAGTATCACCTCACACCTTTCAGAATGGATATTATCAAAGACAACAGGGCTTCCCTGGTGGCGCAGTGGTTGAGAGTCCACCTGCCGATGCAGGGGACACGGATTCGTGCCCCGGTCTGGGAAGATCCCACATGCCGCGGAGCGGCTGGGCCCGTGAGCCATGGCCGCTGAGCCTGCGCGTCCGGAGCCTGTGCTCCGCAACGGGAGAGGCCACAACAGTGAGAGGCCCACATACCGCAAAAAAAAAAAAAGATAACAAATACTGGCAAGGATGCAGGAAAAAGGGAACCTTCGTGCACTGTTGGTGGGAATGTAAAGTGGTGCAGCCACTATGGAAAATGGTATGGCGATTCCTCAAAAAATTAAAAATAGAATTACCACACAATGCAGCGATTCCACTCCTGGGCATTTATCCAAAGAAAACAGAAACACTAATTTGAAAAGATATATGCACCCTTATGTTCATTGCAGCATTATTTACAGTAGTTAAGATTTGGAAACCACCTAAAGTGTCCATCAGTAGATGAATGGATAAAGATGTAGTATCAATACATATAAAAAATGGAAAATTAGCCATAAAAAAGAATGAAATCTTGCCATCTGTGACAACATGGATAGACCTAGAGGGTATTATGCTAAGTGAAATAAGTCAGCGAAAGATACTGTATGATTTCACTTATCTGTGGAATCCAAAAAACAAATGAACAAACATAACTAACAGAAACAGAGTCATAGATAAACAAACAGGTGGTTGCCAGAGAAGAGGGGGGTGAGGGGCAAGGAGAGACATAGGTTAAGGAGATTAAGAGTTATAAACTTTCAGGTATGAAATGTACAGTTTGGGGATTACAGTCAGTAATTATGTAATAGCTTTGTATGGTGACAGATGACAACTAGATGTATAATGGTGATCATTTTGAAATGCAGAGAAATATCAAACCACTTATGTTATGCACCAGGAACTAAAATAGTGTTGTAGGTCAATTGTACTTCAAAAACAAACTCGCAGAAAAAGAGATCAGATTTGTTGTTACCCGAGGCGGGGTGTGGAGGGAGGGGGAATTGGATGAAGGTGGTCAAAAGGTACAAACTTCCAGTTATAAAATAAATAAGTACTAGGGATGTAATGCACAACATGATAAATATAATTAACACTGTTGTATGTTATACATGAACGTTGATAAGAGAGTAAATCCTAAGAGTTCTCATCATAAGAAAAAAATTTTTTCTTCCTATTTCTTTAATGGTGTGTCTATATGAGATGATAGATGTTCACTAAACTAATTGTGGTAATAAAAAATAATAATAAAGGATATGGTTACTCCCCACCCGCCCCCAAAAGAAAAAATGCTTACTTTACTGAAAAGATTAAGGAATTAGCCAGGCATAGGCGTGACTATAAGTCAATGATGCAAAAAAAGGGAAAAAGAAAATACTTCTTAGATCCTCCTGAAGCTGTTAATGAAGGTGGCAAAAGTATTAATCATTCTAACTTCAGTTTCCTCACCTGAAAAATGGATATAACAACTCCAATCTTTCTGAGGACCAAATACAATGAGATAAAAATGTGAAATTTTTTTATCCTGAAAAATGCTATAGAAATATCAGATGTCCTCATTATCATTTGACCACAGGATCTATAGGGAGATGAATGCAGGCATAACGTATAATTTACCCAACAGCTGATGGCTTAAATAATGTACTAACAATACCTTTTTATAAAAGAACAAATACTTCTATTAAACTTCTTCCTACTTTAAATATGGTTCGAAAGCCCAACTTCTGCTTCCATCAATGATGGGAATATTAGGGATGGATTTACTCTGCCATTTTAAACAACCGAAAACTAGACAAAATGAAACCACCATTTTCAGACATTAGAAAACATTAGAAGGGAAGCAAATAAAGCCCTTTGATTTCCCCATTAATCAAATAATAATTTTAGTTTTTGTTTTCCAGCTTTATTGAAATAATTGACTATAAAATTGCTGTGTGTAAATACATATATATATATATACACACATGCACACACACATACATACAATGGAATATTATTCACTATTACATATATATATACACACACACACACACCATATTTTCTTTGTCCATTCATCTGTTGACGGACACTTAGGTTGTTTCCATGTCTTGGCTACTGTGAATAATGCTTTGAGGCAGTGATTTCTTTCCTTCAGATATATACCCAGAAGTGGGATTTCTGGATCACATGGTAATTCTATTTTTAATTTTGGGGGGAATCTCCATACTGTTTTTCATAGTAGCTGTTCAAATAGTATCTTTGGAAAAAGTAATCCTAACTATTGGCCCTGAGGAGATGCACAGATGAATAAAATGCTATGTATGTATGTATGTATCTATCTATCTATGGGACATAGAGCAAAACCCCAAGGAAGCTATCGGTACAACCACTCTTGCTTTTTCACACTTCTCACGTCCTCTTAGACAGACCTGGTAGTATGGAAGATGAATCCTATTCACAAGATGGTGAACAAACTTATACCAAAGTCATAGTAATTTAAAATTCTTTTTTGGAGCAAACAGATACATGATGCAAGGGAAAACTAAGTTGATTCACTACGTTTTTTAAGAGACACCAGTGTAACTTCCTGCTTAAGGCTCTCAGAGCAGTAAGACAATGTGGCAATAATAAGGGACATTTAATGAGGCTAAAATCCTTCAGGGCTTCCTACTTAGCCTGTACTAATCATTCAGCTAGAGCATCAATGATTTGGTTTGTTTTTGAATAACCAGGAGCCAAAAGTACCATAAATGGGCCTTTAATTATGATTTCTAATTTAAATCATAAGGATTTTGCTTCCTTAGCAAATATCTCAACTTATAAGACTTGATAGACATGCTACTACTTTACTATGGAGTTTTCAAGAATGGGGAAAATTCCTAAGCTGATTATCTTACTCTTTTAATAAGAAAAAGTTTCCTGAGAGGATTCTTCCTCTCACCACATCATTGAAGCCTTCTCGTCTGGTGGCAGCATACATGGCTTCAGTAGACACATCAGTGTCACATCTGTGACCTGATAACAAAAAACAAACAAAAACCCACAAAACATTAATTGAAAAGGAAGTAAAGTTTTGGCTGAAAAGCAGGTCTAGATTCACATTTGTGACCAATACTAAAATTTCATACGATTGACCTTAATGGTTTCTCTTTTTTATCTGCCTTTGGACTGACTGACTTGTCAGGAAGCAAGGAGAAAACGATAATGAAGAGGGAAACTTCAGTTGTTCACTCCCTCATTCATTCATTCATTTTATTCAGATGTTTACTGAGCTCCTACTCTGTGCCAGGTACCACACTGTATGGACTGATAATACAAAGCTAAAATACTCTACCTTCAAGATACTCACAGTCCAGAGGGTGAGCTGAAGATACAGAGATATGATGAATAGTGTGACTATAATGCTAAAATGACAAAGGTAAAAGGATTCACTGATTTACTTCTCTAAATCTTAACATTATCCCTGGCAATAATATATTTTGCTACTAATAAACGAACCTTTCAAATGTTTGAGACAACTTCCTTAAAAATCCAAAACACAGGCAACTTACCATATTCTAGCCCATCAAATCTTGCCATATTCGACGCCACTTCCGATGTACACAATACGTGGTAGCAGACAATTGAGTAACTGGTGTGGGGCAGGGACACTTCAATTACTTTGGCCCCCTCAGACTCAAAGAGATTAGCAGCTTTGGACCAAAGAGATTGTACTTCACTCGACAATTCTGGTGTAAGATATTCCTTATTGGAAAAAGTCAAAATACAGAAATTAGAATATCTGTATAGATGGTGTTATAAAAATTTGTACTCTAGAAACTTTGGCAATACATTAGAACATCTGATTAAATTGCTAGCAGGTAGCTAGAAAGACTGAACTAATTTAACAGTGCTTATGGCATGACAAGATACTGTGAGCTCGATATAATATTAAAGATTGGAGATCTGGTTGGAGAACTTATATTTGTTAAATGTTCATTATATATCAGGCACTCTGCTAGATACTATCCAAAGGTTCTCTCATTTAATGCTTTTAACAGTCTTACGATGTAGGTATTATCATCCTTCTTTTTATTAATGAAAAATATTGAGACTAGAGAAGTTAACTAACTTTCCTAACGTTACATAGCAGGTAAGTAGAGGATCCAGGATTCTCAACTAAGTCTGTTTCTCTCTAAATCCTTAAAAGTAGGCACACCTATTACCTTAATTGAAGATGTTAAAGATTTAAAGATTTTACAGTATTTCTCTACAGCAGTGGTCTCAAATGGGGGCAGTTTCCTCTCCTCTTCCTCTCAACCAGGGCATATCCGGTAACATCTGTAGACAGTTTTGCTAGTGGGGCAGTGGTGGTGGTGGGGATGCTACCTCTAGGGTTAGAGGCCAGCGATGCTGCTCAACATCTTACAATGCACAGCACAGTCTCCCAGAACAAAAAATTATTGCTAAGCTCAAAGTTAAAATTTTAAAAGGTTAGTAATTTAACATATCTATTTTCATGTGCTCAGGTCACATATCTAATAAAAGTGGCAGAGCAGGGCTTCAAACCCAACCAGTCTGTTTCCCAAGTCTGTGCTCTGTATTTGACTTGACAGTACTTTTGTAAAGAGAGACTTACCTTCGGAATTCCTATACATAGTTTGCTCATATCTGTCAAACTGGGAAGCGTAAATGGTTTAACAGGATCTTGAATTGTGGTAGAATCTTTGGGATCATGCCCAGCTAGTATACCTGTAAGTAGGAATATTTATGAGTGACAGACACAGTACTGAAGTGAAATAATGTTTTGAAACTATATGGAATCGTTTAAATACCCAACACAATGGCTGCATCATCCACACATCTGGTTAAGATTCCTGGCACATCCATTGAATTCACCAGGGGAATGAGGCCATGACGAGAAACTAAGCCGTAGCTAGGTTTCAAACCAACAACCCCACAGTGGGCAGCTGGATTTCTGGTTGATCCTCCTGTATCTGATCCTAAAGCCCTGAAATTTAAATGAAATTCTCTTTAGCAGGATAATATATCTCTAATTATATTTGAAATCTATCTTTTAAAATGTATATTGAAAAAATGTATTTCCTCCTGATTTTACAAAAAATAAAACGTGCTCATCTCAGAGAATTTTTTTTTTTTTTTTTGTGATACGCGGGCCTCTCACTGTTGTGGCCTCTCCCGTTGTGGAGCACAGGCTCCGGACGCGCAGGCTCAGCGGCCATGGCTCACGGGCCCAGCCGCTCCATGGCATGTGGGATCTTCCCGGACTGGGGCACGAACCCGTGTCCCCTGCATTGGCAGGTGGACTCTCTACCACTGTGCCACCAGGGAAGCCCCAGAGAATTCTTAAAATACAGAGAAGTGTAAAGATGTAACAAAATATTCCACCACCCTGAGGCAAACACTGTTAACATTTTGGCATACTAACTTCGTCTTTTTTTTTTTTTTTAACATCTTTATTGGAGTATAATTGCTTTACACTGGTGTTAGTTTCTGCTTTATAACAAAGTGAATCAGTTATACATATACATATGTTCCCATACCTCTTCCCTCTTGTGTCTCCCTCCCACCCTCCCTATCCCACCCCTCTAGGTGGTCACAAACCACCGAGCTGATCTCCCTGTGCTATGCAGCTGCTTCCCACTAGCTATCTATTTTACATTTGGTAGTATATATAAGTCCATGCCACTCTCTCACTTCATCCCAGCTTACCCCTTTCCCTCCCCGTGTCCTCAAGTCCATTCTCTATGTCTGCATCTTTATTCCTCTCCTGACCCTAGGTTCTTCAGAACCATTTTTTTTTTAGATTCCATATATATGTGTTAGCATACGGTATTTGTTTTTCTCTTTCTGACTTACTTCACTCTGTATGACAGGCTCTAGGTCCATCTACCTCACTACAAATAACTCAATTTCGTTTCTTCTTATGGCTGAGTAATATTCCATTGTATATATGTGCCACGTCTTCTTTATCCATTCATCTGTTGATGGACACTTAGGTTGCTTCCCTGTCCTGGCTATTGTAAATAGAGCTGCAATGAACATTTTGGTATATGACTCTTTGAATTGTGGTTTTCTCAGGGTATATGCCCAGTAGTGGGATTGCTGGGTCGTTTGGTAGTTCTATTTCTAGTTTTTAAGGAACCTCCATACTGTTCTCCATAGTGGGTGTATCAATTTACATTCCCACCAACAGTGCAAGAGGGTTCCCTTTTCTCCACACCCTCTCCAGCATTTACTCTTTCTAGATTTTTTGATGATGGCCATTCTGACGGGTGTGAGATGGTATCTCCTTGTAGTTTTGATTTGCATTTTTCTAATGATTAATGATGTTGAGCATTCTTTCATGTGTTTGTTGGCAATCTGTATACCTTCTTTGGAGAAATGTCTATGTAGGTCTTCTGCCCATTTTTGGATTGGGTTGTTTGTTTTTTTGATATTGAGCTGCATGAGCTGCTTGTAAATTTTGGAGATTAATCCTTTGTTAGTTGCTTCATTTGCAAATATTCTCTCCCATTCTGACAGTTGTCTTTTCGTCTTGTTTATGGTTTCCTTTGCTGTGCAAAAGCTTTTAAGTTTCATTAGGTCCCATTTGTTTATTTTTATTTCCATTTCTCTAGGAGGTGGGTCAAAATGGATCTTGCTGTGATTTATGTCATAGAGTGTTCTGCCTATGTTTTCCTCTAAGAGTTTGATAGTGTCTGGCCTTACATTTAGGTCTTTAATCCATTTAGAGCTTATTTTTGTGTATGGTGTTAGGGAGTGTTCTAATTTCATACTTTTACATGTACCTGTCCAGTTTTCCCAGCACCACTTATTGAAGAGGCTGTCTTTTCTCCCCTGTATATTCTTGCCTCCTTTATCAAAGATAAGGTGACCATATGTGCGTGTGTTTACCTCTGGGCTTTCTATCCTGTTCCATTGATCTATATTTCTGTTTTTGAGCCAGTACCATACTGTCTTGATTACTGTAGCTTTGTAGTATAGTCTGAAGTCAGGGAGCCTGATTCCTCCAGCTCCATTTTTTGTTCTCAAGATTGCTTTGGCTATTCGAGGTCTTTTGTGTTTCCATAAAAATTGTGAAAATTTTTGTTCTAGTTCTGTGAAAAATGCCAGTGGTAGTTTGCTAGGGATTGCATTGAATCTGTAGATTGCTTTGGGTAGTAGAGTCATTTTCACAATGTTGATTCTTCCAATCCAAGAACATGGTATATCTCTCCATCTGTTTGTATCATCTTTAATTTCTTTCATCAGTGTCTTATAATTTTCTGCATACAGGTCTTTTGTCTCCTTAGGTAGGTTTTTATTTTTATTTTTTCTCAATTATTTATTTATTTATTTATGGCTGTGTTGGGTTTTCGTTTCTGTGCGAGGGCTTTCTCCAGTTGTGGCAGGCGGGGGCCACTCTTCATCGCGGTGTGTGGGCCTCTCACTATTGCGGCCTTGTTGCGGAGCACAGGCTCCAGACGCGCAGGCTCAGTAGTTGTGGCTCACGGGCCTAGTTGCTCCGCGGCATGTGGGATTTTCCTGACCAGGGCTCGAACCTGTGTCCCCTGCATTGGCAGGCAGATTCTCAACCACTGCGCCATCAGGGAAGCCCTCCTTAGGTAGGTTCATTCCTAGATATTTTATTCTTTTTGTTGCAGTGGTAAATGGGAGTGTTTTCTTAATTTCACTTTCAGATTTTTCATCACTAGTGTATAGGAATGCCAGAGATTTCTGTGCATTAATTTTGTATCCTGCTACTTTACCAAATTCATTGATTAGCTCTGGTAGTTTTCTGGTAGCATCTTTAGGATTCTCTATGTATAGTATCATGTCATCTGCAAACAGTGACAGCTTTACTTCTTCTTTTCCAATTTGGATTCCTTTTATTTCTTTTTCTTCTCTAATTGCTGTGGCTAAAACTTCCAAACTATGTTGAATAATAGTGGTGAGAGTGGGCAACCTTGTCTTCTTCCTGATCTTAGTGGAAATGCTTTCAGTTTTTCACCATTGAGGATGATGTTGGCTGTGGGTTTGTCATATATGGCCTTTATTATGTTGAGGAAAGTTCCCTCTATGCCTACTTTCTGCAGGGTTTTTATCATAAATGGGTGTTGAATTTTGTCGAAAGCTTTCTCTGCATCTATTGAGATGATCATATGGTTTTTCTCCTTCAATTTGTTAATATGGTGTATCACGTTGATTGATTTGCGTATATTAAAGAATCCTTCCATTCCTGGAATAAACCCCACTTGATCATGGTGTATGATCCTTTTAATGTGCTGTTGGATTCTGTTTGCTAGTATTTTGTTCAGGATTTTTGCATCTATGTTCATCAGTGATATTGGCCTGTAGTTTTCTTTCTTTGTGACATCTTTGTCTGGTTTTGGTATCGGGGTGATGGTGGCCTTGTAGAATGAGTTTGGGAGTGTTCCTCCCTCTGCTATATTTTGGAAGAGTTTGAGAAGGATAGGTGTTAGCTATTCTCTAAATGTTTGATAGAATTCGCCTGTGAAGCCATCTGGTCCCGGGCTTTTGTTTGTTGCAAGATTTTTAATCACAGTTTCAATTTCAGTGCTTGTGATTGGTCTGTTCATATTTTCTATTTCTTCCTGGTTCAGTCTCGGCATGTTGTGCATTTGTAAGAATTTGTCCATTTCTTCCAGGTTGTCCATTTTATTGGCATAGAGTTGCTTGTAGTAATCTCATGATCCTTTGTATTTGTGCAGTGTCAGTTGTTACTTCTCCTTTTTCATTTCTAATTCTATTGATTTGCGTCTTCTCCCTTTTTGTCTTGATGAGTCTGGCTAATGGTTTATCAATTTTGTTTATCTTCTCAAAGAACCAGCTTTTAGTTTTATTGATCTTTGCTATCATTTCCTTCATTTCTTTTTCATTTATTTCTGATCTGATCTTCAAGTCTTTTTTTTAATGAATTTTTCTTTCACGGTTCAGGTCATTCTATAATCATAAGTTTCCATCTCTTTTTTGCTTATCATGAGACTTTTACTATGTCATTAAAATTACTGAAAATTTAAAAAATGTATAATACTCTATCATATCAATTGGCAATTCCCAACTGATTCCCATTTTTAAAGTCCATTCTCTTATCCATATACATACAAATCTTTCTTTTAAGTTCTTTATTTTCTAAATTGAAGTATAGTTGATTTACAGTGTTGTGTTAATTTCTGCTGTACAGCAAAGTGCCTCGATTATACACATATATACATTCTTTTTTTTATTCTTTTCCATTATGGTTTATTCCAGGATATTGGATATAGTTCCCTGTGCTATACAGTAGGACCTTATTGTTTATCCATTCTATATGTAATAGTTTGCATCTACTAACCCCAAACTCCCAATCGATCCCTTCCCCTCCCCACCTCCCCCTTGGCAACCACAAGTCTGCTCTCTTTGTGTGTGAGTCTTTCTGTTTCGTAGTTAGGTTCATTTGTGCCATATTTTAGATTCCACATATAAGTGATATCATATGGTATTTGTCTTTCTGACTTACTTCACTTAGTATGATAATCTCTAGTTGTATCCATGTTGCTACAAATGGTATTACTTCATTCTTTTTTATAGCTGAGTAGTATTCCATTATATACATGAATTTTCTTTATCCATTCATCTGTTGATGGACATTTAGGTTGTTTCCATGTCTTGGCTATTGTGAATAGTGTTGCAGTGAACACAGGGGTGCATGTAACCTTTTGAATTATAGTTTTGTCTGAATATATGCCCAAGAGTGGGATTGCTGGATCATATAGTAATTCTATTTTTAGTTTTCGGAGAAACTTCCATACTGTTTTCCACAGTGGCTGCACCACCTTACATTCCTACCAACAGTGTAGGAGGGTTCCCTTTTCTCCACACCCTCTCCAGCATTTGTTATTTGTAGACTTTTTAATGATGGCCATTCTGACCAGTGTGAGGTGGTGTGGTACCTCACTGTAGTTTTGATTTGTGTTTCTCTAATAATTAGTGATGTTGAGTATCTTTTCATGTGCCTATTGGCCATCTGTATGTCTTCTTTACAGAAATGTCTATTTAGGTCTCCTGCCAGTTTTTTGATTGGGTTGTTTGTTTTTTTGATATAGAGCTGTATGAGCTGTTTGTACATTTTGGATATTAAGCCCCTTTTGGTTGCATCGTTTGCAAATATTTTCTCTTATTCCATAGGTTTTCTTTTTGTCTTATGGTTTCCTTTGCTGTGCAAAAGCTTGTAAGTTTGATTAGGTCCCACTTGTTTATTTTTGTTTTTATTTCTATTGCCTTGGGAGACTGACCTAAGAAAACATTGGTACAATTTATACACATACAAATCTTATACCTTCTTTTAATGGCAATTTTATAATATGCTTTTACAAACTAAACACACCCCTCCCAGAAATTCAGATACAGCCATTCTACTACCTTATTTAGAATCACGGCTAGAAATGTATTTTAAGCTATTTAAACATTTATGTTGTTGCCAGCTAGAATAACTGCATAATAAAGTACTTGTAGGGAATTCCCTGGTGGTCCAGTAGTTAGGACTTTGTGCTTTCACTGCCGAGGGCCTGGGTTTGATCCGTGGTTGGGGATCCCACAAGCCATGCAGTGCAGCAATCAATCAATCCATAAAGTACTCTGTAATAAACACCTTTAAACATAAATCTTTGTCCATATATCTGATTAAATTTTAGGCTAGCTTCCAAGAAGTAGAGTTAATGGATCAAAAGGTCTACCTGTCATTATGAGTTCTTAATATATTTTGTCAAATTACTTGTCAGAAAGGTTATGCCAATTTATATTCCCAATTTTAGTGAATTGGATTTTTTTATGTTTCATTATCATCACTGAATACTAGCAGCTCTTAAAATTTGGTTAATTTGATAACCAAAAGCTTTGCTAATGTGCATTTTTGAATAATTTTTCACATCTATTTGTATTTGCATTACCCAACTATGAAGTGTCTGTTCATTTCTTTGCTTAGTTATCTATATAGTCTATGTTTTTCTTATTAAAAAAAAAAAAACCTTGAGGACATTATGCTAAGTGAAATAAGTGAGTCACAAAAGCACAAATACTGTACAATTTCACGTGTATGAGGTACCTAGAGTGCTCAGATTCACAGTGACAGAAAGTAAAAGAGTGGTGGCCAGGGGCTGGAGAGGTGGGGGGAGGGCAAATGGGAGGCTATTGTTTAAGTGGTATAGAGTTTAAGTTTTGCAAATGAAACAAGTTCTGGAGACTGGCTGTGTGATAATGTGGATGTACTTAACACTACAGAATTGTACACTTAAAAATAGTTAAGATGAGAAATTTTGTTATGTATATTTTACCACAATTAAAAATTTAAAAATTTTAACTATTTCAGGAAAAAAGGTTTTTCTGATTAGAAAAGTGTAATGTCTACTGTAAAAATTAAAATATTTTATAACTATATGATCTATAAAGTGAAATTTCTCTTATAATCACTGCCCCCATAATCTGTTATCACTTTTTATATATATTTATCCAGACACTTCCATGCAACTAACATATATACATATGTAATTATTATTTTTAACAGAAATAAGGCATACTATACATACTGTTCTGCAACTTGTTATGTATAATTATTACTTTTAACAGAAATAAGGTCATACTGTACATACTGTTCTGCAACTTGTTCTCCACTTAACAGTGTATTTTGGATTTCTTCCCATGTCACCACATAGCACTCTAAATCATTCTTTTTAGTGGTTGCATAGTATCAATACTCCTAGAATCTTCCTGTTTTAAAAACTATTATAAAAGAAACAAATCAATAGGGGGGAAAACAAATCAGAACACCTGATGGTTTGGGACCCATTCAACCTGGAGTTACTTTGGGTCTGTGCCTCTCTTGAGTACACCCAGAGTGAAGCTTTGGACTGAACAAGGCTCCTACGTGTCACATGGCCCTTGTGCTCTACAGAAAATGCAAATTAGATTGTCTTTCTTACCAAGTCCACTTGAGCCACAAAATCAGACTGCTGCTTTCACAATTTCTAAAAGGACACATTTTCTTATTAGGATTCCCTGATGTCTGGGTAAAAGTAAAACCTACATTTCCATAGGAATTATGTGTCAAAATGCCATCTTCTCAAAGCACATTCAGAAAGATGAACACTAAGTGGGGTGAGGAGGATAGAAAAAAGCCCCTAATCTTGCAACCCTTGCTTGTCAGAACTCTCATTAATATTAATGTGGTGCTATAAAATTCCACAGAGATAGAATGAAATGCTTTTACTTGTTAACAAGATTTCAGGGAAACTTAAAAACCTGTAGAATCTAAATCTCCATAGCTCTAAAAAATATAAATCATTTATTGATTGCAATGCCTCAGAAAGAGCTTAGTTTCAGTGGATAATTAAGGAGAGATAAAATACACATAGTACTGCTAAAGAAAACATTCTATTTGGTTAAATTGAGACCAATAAAATAAATATAATAACAGCAATATTTATTTACTCTTTAGATGGTTAATAAATGCTTTACAAATGGGACTTAAGACAAAAGCAGTGATTGATGGATTCTTTCCAAATACAAGCTATGACAGTTGAACAAATAACCTCCCTACAAATTTGAAAAAATTTTATGTACTTATATACATTTTTAGTTGTAGGTTTAGAAAAACACTATTTAATATATTCTATTGATACATATTAGGAATATTTTCTTCCTCCCTCCCTCCCTCCCTTCTTTCTTTCCTTCCTTTTTTTTTTCTTAAGTCAGATTTAGCTGAAGGAAAAACCATAGCTAACAATTTAGTTCAGCAGCACTCGACTAAAGCCAAGGTATGTTAGTCTCTAAATATCTGTACAATCAGTGAGCAGATACCCAAATAAATTATTTAAAAATGAAATTCAATGAAGTCTATTTAAGCTAACTGGTTTATTCTGTAAAATCATGTTTTTAAGAGGACCATATACTGTAGAGGAAGAGTTTAAATGCTGTCTTAAATTGAAGTTAAATGTATAGAATACACATAAGTGTACCATAAAGTTGAGTGTATTTAAGATATAATTTTGATACACCATTGAGCACAAATAGCTCAGTAAAGGGAAATAAAAATACCAAGGTATGAACGACTCTATTGTTGAATTTTGTGTATGGTTTATGACTATTTGTATTAGGTTGGGTTTTTAAAGTACAGATAGTAAAAAACATCTTACGCAAAGCACGTGAACGCTGACACAGCCGCCGCGCTCCCTCCTGAGCTTCCTCCAGTTATAAGCCAATGTGAATTCTCATTCTCACCATGAGACTTCTGCTTCCTCTTTTCTCTATATTGTTTTGAATAACTCCAGGGGTTTTTAACTGGTCCAAATATGCCATCTGTGCTTCCAGATCTGAGATTGAAGAAGTGAAGCAAGATATCTTAATACAATTCATTTTATGTAAAATTTTCATCTCCTGATTGTATTATTTGCTTCTGACACTCTATAATCCACTATAACTTGAATTAGAAAAGGTAGGAAGCCTGCTTAGATGTACCTTTCTTTAATTAGACAGTTGAGGAGGTGAAGGAAGGGAAGTAAAAGCATTTGTGGTGGAAAGTAGGAAAAAACTAGTCTGCTAAGAAAAGAAAATTTTTATCCCAATTGATCATCTAATTCAGCTTAGGATGATTTCCTTCGTAAATTAAGGTCTTCCAGTTGAAGAGTGTCACAAAACATCCAAACAGTTAACAAGTAGTCTTTTGAAGGAATTCCTCTGTTAATCAGAAGTTTTAAGAGGCAAATTCTCCGGTGGTCCAGTGGTTAGGACTCTGCACTTCCACTGCAAGGGGCAACTAGGATCCACCCCTGGTCGGGGAACTAGGATCCCACATGCCGCGTGGGGAAGCCAAAAAAATTTTTTTTTAATAAAAATAAATTTAAAAAGTCAATTACATTTCTATAAACGAACAATGTTAAACAATTAGAAATTGAAAAGAAAGCACCATTTTCTATAACATTAAAAAAACATGAAATAGGGCTTCCCTGGTGGCGCAGTGATTGAGAGTCCACCTGCCGATGCAGGGGACATGGGTTCGTGCCCCAGTCTGGGAGGATCCCACATGCCGCGGAGCGGCTAGGCCCGTGAGCCATGGCCACTGAGCCTGCGCATCCGGAGCCTGTGCTCTGCAACGGGAGAGGCCACAACAGTGAGAGGCCCGCGTACCGCAAAAAACAAACAAAAAAAACATGAAATACTTGGAGATATATCAAATGTGCAAGATTTATATACAGAAATCATAAAAACATTGCTGAGAAAAATTAAACTCTAAATAAATGGAAAGATATACAGAATTCATAGGTCAGAAGTCACGTATTAAGATGTCAATTTTCTACAACTTGATCTATAAATTCAATACCACCACAATCAAAATCCTATCAAGCTTCTCTGTAGAAATTAGTAAGCCAATTCTAAACCTTATATGGAAACGCAAAGGATCTAGCATACGTAAAATAATTTTGAAGAGGAACAACAAAGTTGAAGAACTCTTATTACCTAATTTCAAGGCTTACTATAAAGCTACAATAATCAAGATAGCATGATACTGGATACACAGATCAAAACAGAATCCAGAAATGAACCTATATATGTGTTCAACTGATTTTTTAAAAATTATTTATTTTTGGCTGCATTGGGTCTTTGTTGCTGTGTGCGGGCTTTCTCTAGTTGCAGCGAGCGGGAGCTACTCTTCATTGCGGTGCACAGGCTTCTCATTCCGGTGGCTTCTCTTGTTGGGGAGCACAGGCTCTAGGCACACGGGCTTTAGTAGTTGTGGCTCGCAGGCTCAGTAGTTGTGGCGCACAGGCTTAGTTGCTCTGGGGCACATGGGATCTTCCGGGACCAGGGCTCAAACCCGGGACCGCTGCATTGGCAGGCGGATTCTTAACCACTGCGCCACCAGGGAAGCCCCTGTTCAACTGATTTTTGACAAAGGAATCAAAGTAATTTAATTTGAATTCTTATACAAATAGTCCCAGATCTATAGGACAGACATATGTAAAAAAAACTGAACTCTGGCTTTCTTCATATCATGTACAAAATAATTAACTCAACTGGATCACAAGTTTAAATGTTAAGAACTGAAACTATAAAACTTCTAGGAGAAAACATAGGATAAAAACCTTTATGACCTTGGGAAAGGTAACAATTTCTTTGAAAAGACAAAAACACAAGTCATTAAATGATGAACTGGACTTCATCAAAATTAGAAACTTTCACTCTTTGAAAGGCATGTTCAGAGAATGCAAAGACAAGCCAGAGATTCAGAGAACATATTTTCAAATCACCTATCTGATAATAGACCTGAATCCAGAATATATGTAAAAAACTATTATAACTCAGTAAGAAGACAACCCAACTTTTAAAAAAGGGCAAAAGATTTGAATAGAAACTTCACTGAAGATATATGGGAGCAAAATAAACACATGGTGTTTAACATCGTTAGTCATCAGGGAAATGCAAATTAAAACTAAAATGAGATATGACCTATTAGCAGAACATAATTTCATGGAGGGTCAGAGAAACTGGCATTAGATTCCTCAAGAAATCACCTCACTACTTTTAGGTACCTACACTTAATGAAATTAAAGATACAGATGAAAGAAATACAAGAAGAGAAAATTTCAATTTTACTTACCCCATAGCAAACTCATCTAAGTTTGTTTTTCCCATTAGTAGAGCTCCCTGATCCAACAACTTCTGAACTACTGTAGCATTGTAAGGTGGTACATAACCTGAAAAAAATTCAGTTATTTTCTTCTTTTTTTTAAAAAATTGAGGTATAATTGATTTACAATGTTATATTACAGGTGTACAACATAGTAATTCAAAAATTTTATAGATTATACTCCATTTAAAGTTATTATAAAATGTTGGAATTTTATTATAAAATTCCCTGTGCTGTATAATATATTCTTGTAGCTTATTTTATACACAGTAGTTTGTACCTCTTAATCCCCTCCCCTACCTTGCCCCTGTCCTCTTAAAAATTCAGTAATTTTTATCATAGGAAAGAAAACAGGGAACATGTAAATCATATACAAGAAACAAAATTTTAAACTGCAATTAAGCAATTCATATTGACATGTTAATTATTCCTAATTTAAGTAGTAGGTTGTACTTTCTTCTGAAAGTTAATTTTTTCTACTGCTAATTGCTATATGTTTTCCAAAGAAAGTCTATATATTCTGTCTTTACATCCTAAAACTATTGACTTTTAACAGTTAGTACCACAAAGTATTGAATGAGATGTACCCAATTCATTTGAAACTAATCACAAATCATTATTTTGCTCATTGTACTTGACTTTCTCCTCTCAGATGTGCAAATACCATGGTAATTTTTATCTATTTCCAGCAGGAATAGATCTTCATTGTCAATTAAAATTTCCTGTATCTAGTGTATATTCCCAGACAATTAACAAGTTTACCTATCAGAGGAACTTGGGGTATACACCTCATAGAATGTTAGTTTTAGTGCATAGTACCCTAAATATGCTTTTTCCATTTCTTTTTCCTCCTTGGATCCAAATATCTTGATAAATATGATTCCTAAACTTTAAAAAATAAAACTAAGCTTCACTATACTAAGTATAGTGATAGATGGAGGAGTCAGGAGATAAAAATAACCAGACAGGGCTTCCCTGGTGGCGCAGTGGTTGAGAGTCCGCCTGCCGATGCAGGGGACATGGATTCGTGCCCGGGTCCGGGAAGATCCCACATGCCGCGGAGCGGCTGGGCCTGTGAGCCATGGTCGCTGAGCCTGCGCGTCTGGAGCCTGTGCTCCGCAACGGGAGAGGCCACAACAGTGAGAGGCCCGCGTACCGAAAAAAAAAAAAAAACAAAAAAAAAACCAGACAGTAGATGCTAATAAATCCTCATACCATTTGCAAAAGAGGGGGAATGACAGCCACTTTATACTTATTTCTGTGTTACCAACGAGTGGGTGTTAGAGGTCACTTAGCATGTTTGTGATCAGTTATCAAGTCTTCCTAAGTAGGATGCATCCATTAAGCAGGCCTACCCCTGAAGAATAATTTTGCATTCTGAAAGAGCAAAGAGTAAAAAGGTAATATTCTACCCTAAGTTATTTCCTTTGCAAATATAATCAGTCTGAGAATATCTTTGTGCTTTAGTGTCTTATCTTTAATTTAAACTGAAAAATACCTAGTTTTATAAAACAATGCTCTGGTCAGTTAAACTTTACCTTTCAGCATGTTTGATGCACATGTTGTCTCAATGCCGGCCGTGCTAAAGTTGTCTTTTACTGCAACAGGAATTCCATCTAAATCCCCAAGTGACTGACCTGCATTAAAAAGCCAAAAGAATAGAAGAAATACTGGATTGGCCAAAAGGTTTGTTTGGGTTTTTTCATAGCATCTTATGGGAAAAGCCAAATGAACTTTTTGGCCAACCCAGTATCTAATTCAAAATACAGACATTAATAATAGTTATTAAAATAACTACTAGTTTTTGCTAAAGATACGTCTTCAGAAATCAAATTTGTGTTAGAAATTATTACAGTTGGACATTATACCCGTTAGCCTCATTTTTATTATACCTCATGGCCAGTTCTTTTTTTTAAAAAAAAAAAGTATGTATGTATATATTTATTTATATTTTAAAATTTTTTGGCCATGCCGGCTGGCTTGCAGGATCTTAGCTCCCCGGCCAGGGACTGAACGTGGGCCCCCAGCAGTGGAAGCTTGGAGTTCTAACCACTGGATCGCCAGGGAATTCCCCAGTTCTTTAAATAAGGGAATTTTTTATGTTTAAAGCTCCACTTGCCAAATGGAGACTGCTACATCCAATTAAACTCTTTCTCTTGGGATGTCACAATTAAGTATAATTCAAAGTAATTTACCTTTCTTATATCTTTTCTCTGATTCTTCAGCTTGCTTTAAGGCCGCCTCTTCTGATACAGTAATGTAAGCATTTAGAATCTTGGTCTTCTTGATAAGGGAGAGACATCTTTGACAGAGCTCAGTTGGAGTAACTAGGCCTTGTTTCAGTGCCTCAGAAACCTAGAGTATACACAATTCAAAAACCCTTTGCCAAGTCCGCAGAAGTTTCAAATGTTACACTGAGGCATGCAGATAGAGTGGTTAAGTATAAAAATTTAAAGTGAGGCTTGGATTCAAAACCAAGAGAACCTATCAAGTCTACATTTACTTAGGGTGGTGAATAAGGGTAACATATTGGTCAGCTAAAAGATGGGTTGGAGGACACCACAGTTGTCCTCCAACCCATGTTGGAGTTCCTAGCTGAGGAACTCAACATCAGGCTTGAACAAACAAGATCACTGGTTTAGGTAAGCCGCCCTGTCTATGAGAAGTAGAGGCCCAGTGTGGGTGAATCATGGGTTAGGGTAGATAGTATACAGAGAGAAGCTTAGCTGCAACACAGGCCATCCACAGTGCAAAAAACAGAATGAACTAGACAAGGCATTACAGGACCTTATGGCCCCAAATAAGTGATCTTTATTAAACAGACCTTTTTATCTATTGGAGAATTCAAGCAAGAGCCACTACAAATTGAGAGAAATCCTTGTAAAATATGGGTTCAAAAGCCAACTAAAAACAAGCTTTTCTAAAACTCTGTCTTTGATGCATTAGGAAGGCTAGTAAAGAACGCGTTAAAATAAACTGCACTTCAAGTGACCAGAACTTGCATATTGACGGTAAGTAAAGCCTAAGGTGAAGTGATGACTTGTAATACTTCCTGTAGGAAGTAATAAGAAATACTTACTAATTGAATAAAAGGAATGAATAACAAGAAGTCAAAGATGATACCAAGTCTTTAGAGACCATCTGAAAAGAGTTGGATAAGATGGTAGCTCAGACAAGGGGGATGGGGGGAAAAGTAACATTTTCTGAATATTTACCAAGAGCCAGGCACTGTTGTGGCTTTAGATTCATTATTACTTTATTTAGCCCTTAAAACAACCACTTAGGGCTTCCCTGGTGGCACAGTGGTTAAGAATCCGCCTGCCAATGCAGGGGACACGGGTTCGAGCCCTGGTCCGGGAAGATCCCACATGCCATGGAGCAACTAAGCCCGTGCGCCACAACTACTGAGCCTGCGCTCTAGAGCCAGCGAGCCACAACTACTGAGCACGTGAGCCACAACTAGTGAAGCCCGTGCACCTAGAGCAACAGAAGCCACCACAATGAGAAGCCCGCGCACTGCAACGAACAGTAGCCCCCGCTCGCTGCAACTAGAGAAAGACCGTGCATAGCAACGAAGACTCAATGCAGCCAAAAAATAAACAAATAAATAAATTTATTAAAAAAACAAAAAAACCCCAACCACTTAAGTTAGGTATTATTAACCTCATTTTATAGATAAAGAAACTGAAGCTAAGAGAGGTTAAGTGATGTGTCCAAAGTCACAGAAATAGTAAAGGGTAACTTAACAGGTAGTAATAGTAAAAGTTAACAGGTAACTAACTGCCCCTTCATCATTTCTCTCTGCACCAGTGGAAGCTTAGCTTGTCCTGTATGCTGACTGTATTTCCACATGTCCTATATACATCAAGCAATAGGAATTTGCATTTAGGGGAAAATCTGCAAATGATCTGCTCTAGGCTGTTGAATAAATCATCAAAGTGGTGGTATTCTTAGGTCTGAGGGTTTTAAGCCAGAAAAGCAGTGCAAATAGGCCACTGAGAGGACCCCTAATGCTGATGCACAAGAGGAGGAAAGGGCTGCCATGGGGATGCTGCGGGAGGGGTTCAGGATGGGGAGGGACAGCTGGGCTCAACTTAAAGGAGGTAACCTAGCAACAAGAAGAGACATTTCTGTTGAACGGTTTGTATGAGATGTAAACTCTTTAGAAGAGAGAAACTGGAGAAAAAGAAACGACAGCAGTGTATTGTAATGTTGTAAACATGGAGTGGGCTTATGTAAATAGGCTGAGTGCAAGCGTCAGAACTAGCAAAAACGGAAAGCTGGAGACACAGAGAGGTATATAGACAGGCCTACCCCGGAGCAAAATTATAAAAATGAGGAAAATTATGCCTGCCATTTTCTCTTCTTCTTTGCCTCCCTTCAAGTCCCCTAATGCCCATTATCCTCAAGTTGCCTTCTGACTTGCCAAGTGATATGAGAATAAGAGGTAAGGAACTGCAGTTATGGTTACAAGGGCAAGAAATGAGACTGTCTGGGAGCATTCTTTTTATTTATTTATTGATGTATAGTTGATTTATAATGTTGTGTTGGTTTCAGGTGCAAAGCACAGTGATTCAGTGATACATACAAATATATCTATTTTTTCCAGATTCTTTTCCCTTATAGGTTATGACGTAGTATTGAATATAGTTCCCTGTGCTATAAAGTATATAGTTACCTATCTTATATATAGTAGTGTGTATATGTTAATCTCAAGCTCCTAATTTATCCATCTCCCCCACGCCCCTCCCCTTTGGTAACCATAAATTTGTTTTGTCTGTGGGTCTATTTCAGTTTTGTATATAAGTTCATTTGTATAATTTTCTTTTTTTGTAGTTTCTACATATAAGCAATATCATATATTTGTCTTTCTCTGTCTGGCTTACTTCACTTAGTATGATAATATCTAGGTCCATCCATGTTGCTGCAAATGGCATTATTTCATTTTTTAATGGCTGAGTAATATTCCATTGTATATATGTACCACATCTTCTTTATCCTTTCATCTGTTGATGGACATTTAGGTTGTTTCCATGTCTTGGCTATTGTAAATAGTCCTGCAATGAACATTGAGGGGTGTGTATTTTTTCGAATTATGGTTTTCTCCAGATATATGCCCAGGAGTGGGACTGCAGATCATATGGTAGCTCTATTTTTAGTTTTTTAAGGCTGCACCATACTGTTCTGGGAGTACTCATTTTATTTTTTATTTATTTAAAAAAATTTTTATTTATTTATTTTTTTGGGCTGTGTTGGGTCTTAGTTGCAGCATGCTGGGTCTTTGTCGAGGCGTGCAGGATCTTTCGTTGCAGCATGGGCTCTTCCTTGTGGTGCACATGTTTCTCTCTAGTTGTGGTGTGCGGGCTTCTCTCTAGTTGTGACATGCACAGGGTCCAGAGCACATGGGCTCTATAGTTTGTGGCATGCAGATTCTCTTGTTGGGGCACGTGAGCTCAGTAGTTGTGGCGCGTGGGCTTAGTTGCCCCGTGGCATGTGGGATCTTAGTTCCCCGACCAGGGATGGAACCTGCATCCCCTGCATTGGAAGGCAGATTCTTTACCCTGGACCACCAGGGAAGTCCTTGGGAGTACTCATTTTAAATGGTAATCTTTGTTAGGATCATTTTTAGGAAATTTAGATTTGACAAACTCAATAAGGGTATTGGAGAAGAGAAATGAAAACAAAGATGCTAATTAGCTAGAATGGATTAGATGTAAGGATTATGACATAAAAATAGTACAGCTCTCCTGGAGCAAAACTAAAGGTATCATATCTGAATATAAGATGAAATCAACTAGAAAAGTTTTCTCTTCCCTCTTTTCTCAAAACCCCCAGCTCATCTGAAGCACAGGCCTTGAAGGAGATTATATTACTCTCCCTGGTGTGTTAATCTACAGTCTCCCTGATACTCCTTTTCATTCACTGAAGTTTTTAGCAGCTGGTTTGCTGTAATCTTCTTTTCTATGGCTCCTGTTGCTCTTTTTGTTGACTTCAAACTTCAAGTCAGGTACACGGACACCTGGCCTCTCCGTTCCTGACCTCACTTCACACAAACTCTTCCTTCACCTCACCCCAGTTACCAGCTCACATGGTCATTAGCCCAGACTATATCATTACCAACATCTGTATCATCTCCCAAACCTCAGTTCTAATTAACCCACATCTCTTGTCCCCTGAGCTCATTTACTCTACTACCCACATGGTCAGCAAGAAAACGGGGAACAGGGACTTCCCTGGTGGCGCAGTGGTTAAGAATCCGCCTGCCAATGCAGAGGACATGGGTTTGATCCCTGGTCCAGGAAGATCCCACATGCCATGGAGCAACTAAGCCCGTGCGCCACAACTACTGAGCCCGTGCTCTAGAGCCTGCGAGCCACAACTACTGAGCCCATGTGCCACAACTACTGAAGCCCGTGTGCCTAGAGCCCGTGCTCTGCAACAAGAGGGGCCACCACGATGAGAAGCCCTCGTGCTGCAACAAAGAGTAGCCCCTGCTCACCGCAACTAGGGAAAAGCCCACGTGCGGCAATGAAGACCCAACACAGCCAAAAAGAAAGAAATAAATATTTTTTAAAAAAAGAAAGAAAGAATACGGGGACCTCAGTCCTACAACCACAAAGAAATGGATTCTGCCAAGCAGTGAGGTGGAAAGAGGATCCCAAGGCATCCAAAGAGACTGCGGCTCTGGCTGTCACCTTGATTTCAGCCTTGTGAGACTCTGAGTAGAGAACCCAGCTACTCCATTCCTGGATTCCTGACCCACAAAACAGTGAGATGATAAGATTGTGTGTGTGTTTTAAGAATGTGTTATTTTAAGCTGAAAAGTTTATACTAATTTGTTACACAGCAGTAGAAAAGTAATATACCTTCTTAGAAAAATTAAGAAATCTCCCTCAGGAACCATTCTTCTTAGAAAACAGGGGAAGAGAAAACTGTAAATACATATAATCTAGTAATTTTGTCACTGTAACAAAATTAGTGTTAATAATGGCACTTGGTTCTAGGCATTATCCTAGATGTTTTATATTTCATTTAATCTTCATATCCACACTAAGAGGCTGATATTATTTCCATTTTACAGATAAATTACTGAAGTTCCTGCTTAAAATCACATAGCTAGAAAGTAGCAGAGCTGGGATTCAACCAAGGCCTGATCTTGTTTCCAAAGCCCATGCTCTGGACCACTATATTCTACTACTTCTCTATGCAGGCTGTTACAGCATTTACTCCTCTGTAGCAAATAGAGAACATTTTGTTAACTTTACAGATAACATCAAAGCTTCACTTAGGAAAAGAACTGTCTTTCAAAAGAAAAACTGTCTTGATAAATGCTGAAGGTATAGAAGAGCGCTTGAAAGCTGAGTGTCTGGTTGACTGGTACTCTCTTTAACACACTCATTTAACATTCATGCTTTTTGTCTCCATTGTTCCAAGAAATAGCACATCAAGATCACCAGTAACCTCCACATTCCTAAATCCAGCAGTCATGGCCCAGTCCAGCAGCACTCAGCATTCAACACAAGACATCACTCCCTCCTTGAAGCACTTCTTTTTCACTTGTACTTCGGGACACCAAGCCATCCTGGTTTTCCTCTTGCCTTACTGGCCACTCCTTCAAGTCTCCTTTGTGGGCTCTCCTTCCTACTGCTGACCCCTAAATGTTGGAAAGTTTTAGGCCTTGTTCTATATTTACACTGAGATCTCATCTGACCATATAACTTCAATTATGTCCTCTACTCTGGACAATTTATATCCTCATACCTAGCTTCTTTTTTGATCTCCACGTTCCTATATCTACCTGCTTAACTGACATCTTCACTTGCATATCTTTAGAAGCATCTCAAAATTAACATGTCTTGATAACTTTCTCCTCACAACATGCTCCCTGTAGAGTCTTTCCCATCTTGACAAATGTTACCATTTCTTCAATTGCCCAGGCCCCAAACCTAAGCATCCTCCTTGATTCATCTCTTTTCCCTCAAATTCCATATCCAATCCATCAGAAAGCCATACCTTAAAAAACTAACACCCGGGTTTCCCTGGTGGTGCAGTGGTTAAGAATCCGCCTGCCAATGCAGATGACACAGGTTCGAGCCCTGGTCCAGGAAGATCCCACATGCCACGGAGCAACTAAGCCCGTGAGCCACAACTACTGAGCCCACGTGCCACAACTACTGAAGCCCGCATGCCTAGAGCCTGTGCTCTGCAACAAGAAAAGCCACCGCAATGAGAAGCCCGTGCACCACAACGAAGAGTAGCCCCTGCTCGCAACTAGAGAAAACCCGCACGCAGCAACGAAGACCCAGCACAGCCAAAAATAAATAACTAAATAAAATTTTAAAACCCCAAAACAACAACAACAAAAAACGAACACCCACTTTGCATTACCTCTCTCCTCCCATCACCTTATCCATGCTGCCATCAGCTCTTGACAATGCAATGACCTTCTAACTGGTCTTCCTGCTTCCCTACTTGCTTTCCTATAGACCATAATCCTGAATAACCTGAAGGAGCTTTTTAATTTTTAAGTCAGATCATGTCCAAAGACTCACAACTTCCCAGAGGATTTGCATTACATTTAGAATAAAATCCACACTCCTTAACATGGCCGGAAAGGTAATCCAGTTCCTGCTTATCTATAACCTCATCTCCCACTACTCTTCTCGTTCAGTTCTCTTGGGTCTGCTGGCCTTCCTGCTATTCCTTGACCACATCAAGTTTGCTCTTGCTTCAGAGACATTGCACTTTTATTCTCTCCTCTGCCTGGAACACCCTTCTCACCCTTCAGGTCTCTACTAAATATCACCCACTCAGTCAGCGAAACCTTCCTTGACCACTCTATCTAAAACATCCATCTCTCCAACTAATTCGCACACTATAGCCTGCTTAACCTTTTTTCATAGCACCTACACTACCTGAAATTCTATTATTTACTTAAACAAAGAAACTTATTTAATGCCTGCTTCCCCACAAAAATGTAGGCTTCATGAGGGCAGGAATTTCTGTCTTCAATGCTAATCCCCAGTGTCTGGAACACAGAGGTGCTCAATAAATGTTAATTGAATGAATAACTGAGTTGTTTAAAATTTGGAGTCTATTTTCCCATAGAACAGTAATTAAATATTCTTGGGCTAGACCCCCAAGAAGCCTACTGGATATATAATTAACTTTCTTTAACATAACAGTAATCATTTAACATAACTTTAGGGTTAATAATATTAGCCTGGCATCTGGTTCCTAGAAATACTGGGATCATGCCACAAGAAAGGAAGGTGAAAGTAAGACTCTTTCCCTTACTGAGTGTACCTGGGTAAAATTTACAAGTAGCAGTTCTACCTCCTATTTGGCATTTTACCTCGTTTTAGTGCTTCCTCCTAGGGCTCCTCTACTGCCCTAAGCCTCCACTTAGGCCCCCCAAATTGTCTCAAAATGCCATAGTTTCCAGCCCCTCCCTCAGTCCCCTCCCCCGCAAAATTTTCCCTTTCCTTAACTGATTATCTCAGCCAGGGTGTGATGGAGAGAAATCTGATTGAACTATAATAATTCACAACAGTGGATAAATAAATCATTCAACCTTCCCAAGCATCTTTACATATTTAAAATAGAATGTGTACTAAATTAATTAATCTGTAATTGGTAGAATTTAGGGCATTGGTACAATGATATGGAAAGAACAGAGTGGACAGAAGATATATTATGGGCTGGGAAAATAAGTAAATAATGTTTTCCACACAATAGGCATCAATAAGTATTTGTTAAAAGAGTGATTAAGTGAAAGTAATCATGCCAAGGCAATTTCCTGACTACCCTTGGGTCAGCTTCCCTTTTCCCCCTTGAGGTAAAAGTTGTTTCTGACAGTGGCTCACTGGACATTAGGAAGGGGTGGCACAAAAAAGGTAGTGCTGGGGGAAAGGGCAGAAAAAGAAAGTACCGCATTTTTTAGGTTATATTTCATTTTAAAACAAGTTTGGAGTTAAAAAGTTTTTAATTTTTAAAAACAAATTGGATTCTTCACTGACAGTATAGGCAAGATACAATTTAGGATAGTAAAGCAAAAATGTATTTAGGGGAATAACTATTATTTAAAACCTGTGGATTTAAAGTTCTCATAATTTACAGCTTTCTAAAAGGCTGCCAGCTGGAAAAAGAAAAAAAAAGACTTCCCAGGTGAAGATACAAATGAAGATGGAAGACGGGGTAGGTCCTCAATTGCTACTTATCAGCAGAATCACCTGGAACCCAAGTTAAACCATACACTCTGGGCCTTACCATACTAACCTTCCTGAGTGGGACACAGCTGTAGCTTTAAGGCGGGCCGAGGTGATTCTGATAGCAGTGGGCCTGCAGACAGCTCTGCAGGTTGAGAGATCAGAAAGCAAGGAGATCGGAACTAAAGCCCTAACAGCAGGGATAAAGTGAGAGAACAGATCCCAGACATAAGTTCAAAAGAGAACTAACACGGTTTAGTGACTTCCTGGATATGACCTATGAAGAAGAATCTAAGGGCACCTGGGATAACAGTTGTGCCGCTAAAAACAGAATATTAAGAATTCCATAATTAGGTTTTTGTTTGTTTTTTATGATGGAGATTGAGACGCAAGAGGTGATTCTGTTACAAGGATGAAGTCAGCTTTGGTTAGATTCATCAAACTCCTGTGGGAGTTTTGGAAGCGATGTCCATTAGACATTCACAAATATAGCCTAGAGTTCAAAAACGATGTCCAATTAATGGAGACACGGGTAAGAGAATCACTAGTATCTTGGTGGTAGTTGAAGCTTGAAGAATGAATATGTCCAGGAGGGAAAAAAGCTAAGAATCACTAGTTTGGCTTTTGCAAGGGACAGATTTGCGGGCTTCTTAGTGAGGACTGCATCAGATGTGTGTAGCGGACAAGAGAGACTGACGTGGACCAGCCAAATCCCCCTTATCTGGCTGAGACCGGCCAGGGCCCCACGCAGCCAGGGCGAACGAATAATCGAGAGAAGCCACTGTTCCCTTCCACCCCACAGCGCGGCGGTGCAGAAGCCTCCCCCGCGGAGATCCTAACTCCTGAACGGATATAAGGAGCACAGCCTAAGGACCCGGCGGTCCGAATCCCCCACCAAGTTCCAGGGAAGGAAGCGGCGAGGCTGACCACGATGCGCGCCGGCCGGGGGACGCCACGTCCACGTGAACAAGGACTCCGCGAATCTTCCCGACCTCCCTGGGCCCTCAGCAGACAATTCCACTCACTTCTCGGAGGGTCCGGCCCAACATGGTCCTCGTGTCCCACCCGCCACCACAGGGGCTTGGTGTCAAGGAGGAAGAAGAAAGGTCAGCTGCTGCTGCCGGTATTACATGGGCGCAGCCATTTGCCAGCGAACCTGTCAGCACCGAGTACTCAGATTGGTCGAATTGCAGCCCGAGGAAAATGATCTTTGCACGCGATTGGCTGGCGCCTCTAAGGAAGTCCTGCGGGGAAGTAGAGCTGGTGGCAAGGAGACTCCGGGGGTCGCGGCGGGAGCCTGGAAGTGTGTGAATTTCTCTGACATCCGGATCGCGAGCGGACTCGGCTTGTCCCGCAGAGAGCTCCCGGGACAGGGCAGGATTCTAGCGGTTTTGTTTTTGTTTTTAAGGGGAGGGGGTGTAAGGGAGGAGGAGAATGGACAGAATACTGACTGGAACGTTAATTGGAGCATTTCAGATGTGAAGAGTAGAGTAGTTCCGTACTCTTCTTTCTTCAGTTGCTCCATCAGTCTAACTTCAGTTTTGAATTCTCAACTTTGAAACCGGCCAGAGTGTTTGGCAGAATTTGACCGAATTCAGGTGTGAGGGTTTGAGCCAGTATAAGTGCCTTTTAATTAGGGCACGCAATTCAACCACTGTTTACGATGGGATTTCTGAAGACCTGTGTACTTAGAAGAAATGCATGCACTGCGGTTTGCTTCTGGAGAAGACAAGTTGTACAAAAGCCTTCAGTTAGAAAGATTAGTACTACCTCTCCAAGGAGCACTGTCATGCCCGCTTGGGTGATAGATAAATATGGGAGTAATGAAGTGCTTCGATTTACTCAGGACATGATGATACCAATGATACACTATCCAAATGAAGTCATTATCAAAGTTCACGCTGCGAGTATAAATCCTATAGATGTTAATATGAGAAGTAAGTTTCAAAAGACATTCCTCAATTACCTTTTTTTTTCTTTAGACAGTCTCATCAGGGATTAGTTTTAAAAGGTCAGTTGTTATTGACTACACTTTTTTGGTTAACACAAAGGAATTGTTTAGGGTTTTGACAGTATCTCAGTAGATATTATTTCCAAAATTTTTGAAATTGTAATGTCCACGGTATGCTTTAATCTTTCACAAAATATAAGTTTGAATTGCTTCCAATACTACCTAAAAATGTAAATTGGGACTTGAGAATTGTATCCACAGCTAACTTTGTGGTACATTCTCCTGGGAACTTTGTGATATTCTGAGGTCCATCACAGGTTTTCGAGGTATGTTTATGTTTTCATATCAGTTCAGAATTTGCATTTCCATAGTAATTTTTATTTCCCTCCCACTAATCACAGCTTTGTTTAATGGTCCAGTGGACAAAGCAGCAGAACAGGATGCCAGGATATGGACACAGTACTTTCCTCATTTTTGCTGTTGCATTCTGCAAAGTTAAAATACACTTTTCTGTTTTGCGCCATCCTCACTGGGAATAATGTTATCTTAATTTCTGCTGGTGGATATTGACAAAGCTTGGAGAGTACTGTATTCCTTATGCAATTATTATAGTGCTGAAAAGATTGATTACCATTTGTGAATTACTTTGGAAAATAATGACAAGAAAATGAGCAATTGAAATGTGGCTAGTGTGGGATGTACAGTTAGTGTAAAATATACACTAGATTTCAAAGGCTTAGTAAGAAAAAAATGAATGTAAAATATCTTGTTAATAATTTTATGTTCATTACATATTAACCTGATAATATTTTGGATATATTAAGTAAAATATTAACATTAATTTCACTTCTTTCTTTTTATAGTGGCTACTAGAAAATTTTAAGTTAGATATGTGGCTTGCATTATATCTCTTTCGGACAGTGCTGATCCAGACATGTGAGGAATAACTGTTACGTATTTCTTTGTGGGGAGGGAGTTTGGGGAAAGACTTGGACTAAAAATGTAGCTGGAGAGCTCTATTAAGAATTAATTGAAATGACTTTATGATGATTGCCTCATGAAATACACGTTTGTATTCTTTTTGTTCGCTTTAAAGTAATAATTGCTATTACTAGTTGGGCATATTGTTTCAGTGTATTCCATTTACATTGTGCATGAAGATAATGTAGTTTTTATCAGAATTATCTTTAAGTGGTAGATTTATACCCAGGGACCATTATGTTTTTTTCATTTCCTTGATTATAAGCTCTTTGAAGGTAGATCCCATGCCCTGTCAACTGTAGCCTGTTTCTATGCTTCACATGTGTAGTTGTCATTCAGTCTTTTTTTTTTTTTTTTTTGTGGTACGTTGTGACCTCTCCCGTTGTGGAGCACAGGCTCCGGACGCGCAGGCTCAGCGGCCATGGCTCATGGGCCCAGCCGCTCCGCGGCATGTGGGATCCTCCCAGACCGGGGCATGAACCCGCGTCCCCTGCATCGGCAGGCGAACTCTCAACCACTGCGCCACCAGGGAAGCCCATTTCTTTGAATGCACGTGCACAATTTGTATTGTGTACATTTTAACTTCAGTAGAATGGCTGGATCTGGACTTTCTTGGCTGCTATTTAATGTAATATTATAACACATTTTACTTTTATATAGTATTCTTGAGACATCTTAGTATTTTATGACTTGAGTGGGTAATATTATTTGCAAGTTATCCTCTTTATTTCCTGCTCATGAATTCTTTTTGGAGAATGTGTGATTATCGTTGCGGAAGATACCTGAAATATGGGGAAATAAAATAATGAGTATAAGATCGTAAAGTGTAGGGAGCAGTTATTTCCCTTGACGAGAAAGCAAGGACGTGTCTGTTTTGAAAGATGAAAGCCAGCTGTTTTTCTGGAGATGTCCACTATTGTTGGACATAAAATCATAAATCATGTAGATGGCTAATGAATAATCTTAAAATAGAAAAAAAATATAGCCAACAGCATCATACCAACAAAGTTTGGTTTCTTTAGATGGAATTAAAGCTTTTGAAACGGAGGGCAGATTTAGGATTTTCCAAACCACTCCAACTCTGAACCAAACTGGTCACCTCTAAGAATGGGACAGAACTCCTAAGGGTTCCCATTCATTGTGTCACCAAGCAGGTTCTCAGTTCCTCACTACCAGCTGTTTCTGGATTTGGGGCTAGTTTAGCTGGTACCAATGAGCCAGAGTTAACGCAGGTGATATCGAGGTGACCAAGAAAGCAACCTTGCCGTGCAGGCTGTGTAGCTTAGAGAGGACTGAGGATTTTTTTTTTTTGCAGCTCTGAAACAGCAGCTAAAATTTGACATAGCTAAATGCCCGCTTCTGTTCATCAAACCACATAGGAATTTCAGTGAATAATTGTTTAATTGTGTTTGAGAGTGGAAAAGGAATGTAAGACAGGAAAGTAAAATGTGACTTTTGTGAGTATTACATGTGAAGTTTTTCTTTCCCCTGATAGAATGCACTCGTAACCAGCCAGCTGGCAAGTATGTAATATTGGCATGGTGGCCATCAGCTTAGATTTTCTGGGACTTTCCCAACTTTCAAACACTTTCTTCCATGTGTCTTGATTTTTATCAAAAACAACTTCTGCAAGCTACCCTCCTGTCAGCCTCTCTCCCTGTATCCTCTACCTCCGGCTGCGCGGATTAACTGTCATTGCTCTCATCTAAGCCCAGCTCCCCACCTGGGCTCTAGGCCCCATGCCCTCTCACCCACACAGGAGCATTGTTTCAGCAGTTCTCTCCTGCATCTTCAGTCTTTTCCTTTCCACTGGATCATTCCCTTTGGCATACAAACTTGCTGTTAATTTCTCCATTCTTAAAGAGGAAAAAAAAGAGACTTAAACATCCTTCCTCTATCGCACTAGTCCCCCTCCAGCCACTGCCCCATTTCTCTCCTCTCTTCTGTAAGCAAAACTATTTGAAAGAGTTGAATGTTCTCATGGTCTCCAGTTCCTCACTCCCATTCTCTCTGTCATCCCATGCCACGGCAACCGCTCCTATGAAGGTCACGAAAGACTGCTGTGTTGTTGGATCCAGTATTTTGTTTTGTTTGGGGGGTTTTGTTTTTTAAAAGCCTATTGGCAGCTTTTGACCTTATTTGAAAAGCTATCTTCCCCATCAGCAGCATTTGACTTCTTTAAATGACCCTCTTCTCTTGGCTTTCTGAACACCTTTTCACTGGCCAAGCCTTCTCGGGCTCCTTTGCTGGTTTCTCCCCATCCTTAGGATTTAATGAGGATGAGTGGGAGAAAAGGGGAGACTTACTGAGTGGTTTAGTGATTCTGGAGCATAAATTGTGGTACATGACACTAGAAAGGTAAGCAGGGTGCTTATCTTGGAGAGCCTTACATAGCAGAAATGTTCTTAGAAGGATGTCGAGCAGAAGAGATGACAACAGTACTTTTGTGTCTTAGAAAAGCCATTTTAGATGTTGAAGCTATGTAATAAACTACTTTGGATTATTATAGATATTATAGCCAATTTATTTGAACCAAAAAAATACGGATCAGAGGAATGTTTTCAGCTCTGTTTAGCTGATGTTTATGTAAACGTTCTTAAGAATAAAATGATGTATAATAAAGCAGTCAACCTGATTTAACATATCAGAACTGATGCAGCCAAGTGGTTCTTTTCCATTTGGGAACCTTGCACTTAACCCAGAGATGTTCTAGAAACATTTTTTGTGAGGCAGGGACGATTACTCATAGACCAGTGTCAGTGTCAAATACTATATCCATGCCTTATTTATTTGTTTATTAACCAGACAACTTTAACATTATCTTCTTCACCAGACTTGGCTTCAGATGACTTTGTTATTTAAAAAGTCCATGAATGAATAAATTAACAAAGAAACCATCTTCAAAGAACAAAGTAAAACCTATAAAAGGAAATACTTAAAGCTCTGAAGACAGTTTCAAAATTGGAATTTCAAAAACAGTGATTGTGACTCAACTATACTCCAGTATAAAATAAAAATTAAAAACAGTGATTATGACTTTCCAAATAATTTTCTTTGAAAGGAACAACATTCATTGTTTTTATGCTTTCTTGTGTGATGGTAAAAAATTTATAAGGTTGATTACCTTATAATCTGCATCTTGAAGATCTAGAATTGTACCTGGCCTGTGACCCTGCAGTAGTTTTGAAATCATCCCATTCTTTTGGAAGAAACAAATAAATTGTATTTCATAGGTGGCTACGGAGCTACAGCTTTAAATATGAAACGTGATCCTTTACATATTAAAATCAAAGGAGAAGAATTTCCCCTGACTCTGGGCCGGGATGTGTCTGGTGTGGTGATGGAGTGTGGACTTGATGTGAGGTACTTCAAGCCTGGCGATGAGGTGAGTTATCACATTCCACTATTCCTTCTCAAAATTTGCAGATTTAATTCTGCTGCTTTTGGAAATATATTCCATATCATTGACCTTTTTTCTTCTTTTCAACAAATACAGTGAGCTTTGGCTGGAGCCCTTATTTTCTTGGTTCAGTTCTTCTTTCTGTTTTTTCTAGTTCTGTCACAATAGCTTGCGGTGCTTGAACTTTTCTAAATCTAGTGCTCAAGAATTGCAAGACTTTAAGATGTATATGATTGGGACTTTTTAAGTCTTTAAATGACAGTTTCTACCTTACTGGTTAGATGGTTTTAAAATAGCTAAAGGTTGATATAATCACCTGTCCCTTGTCACTTTGAACTTTTATACCAAGAAATTAAAGTCAGCTTATAATAATAGCTAGCACTGTTCTCGTTGTTTTTCATAAAATAACTCATTTAATCCCTATGAAGTAAGTACAGCTAGGCCCAGTTTACAGGTGAGGAAAGTCAAGCTATAAAGAGGTCCCACAGCTAATAAGTGGTAGAGCCAGGATTCAGGCCCCAGAGACTGTGTTCTTACTGGTACTCTAAGTAGCCAGTAAATACAGCAGGATTTACTGGTTATCTACCTCCAAAGTGGTTTGACTTGGTAAATCTAGAATCATACTAAATAATACATTGATATCATGTGAAAATAACTCTATTATTTGCTGGATTGCTGACTTGTGCTTTTTATCACAGGGTAGCGTATGTATTGGGGAACACTCTCATGCTTAGCTTTGGCTTAAAAAGATCTGTTTCTAACGAAGTTGTGTGTGTTTCAGGTCTGGGCTGCAGTTCCTCCCTGGAAGCAAGGCACTCTCTCAGAGTTTGTTGTAGTCAGTGGGAATGAGGTAACTCACCAGTTCTGTGCTGAAATGCCACTGGAAAGTAGATACAAAGACTGACAAATATCTCTGAAATAATTGGAGTTTTTTGTTTTTTTTTTTTGAGATCAGGTTCAAGTTTTATGGGTAGTTTTGAAAGAACCGAGATAGAGAATAGGAATTTTTAAAAGATCTAAAAAAGTATTGGATGTCGTTTAAATAACACTGCCTGCCAAAGCGTTTTTATCTTTGTCTTGTGGAACAGGGATTTGGAGCAAGATCTAGAAACACTGCTGTGTTTCTTGGTTTTATCTAGTATAAATAGTTGAAACCAAATATACCAAGTGGAGCATACCGATTCATCATAAACAGAAGCATGGAAGTATCAAGCTGTTTCAGATAACTTTCAAAACAGGAGTCTAATCAAATCCAGTCAGGAGGCCTAACAATTTAATTAGAAAGAAGGGGGTTAATATTAAGGAAATTGCCTACAGAAGGGAGGGCAGGAAGGGAAAAAGGATTAGAAAAAAGATAAGATTAGAAAAAGTCTGGAAAGATTACCTTCCAGTAAATGGGGGTGAAGGAAACAGCTGATCACAAAAACAAATTAGAATGTATTTACGAGGGTTCAAGTTTTATTTGGGTTTATTTCTGGGTATAGTTAGGACTAATGGTATTGTTGAATGTGGTCTTTTTATGAAGCATTATGCAGCGGTATCTGATAATGTAACCTATAAAACCTTTCTGAACCTCTGTGAGGCAGGTTGAGTCATTTGGAGAAATTCCTTAGGGATAATCTTGGAGTAGGGTTTGCAATAACCGCTGAACCTGGCCGAATGTTATATCTCTGAAAATAGTCGGATTCCTGTGAAGATAGATGTACTTAATTGTGTTCATAGGTTTGCAAGTCATTGCTTATTTTTGACTGTTATCTTCAAATCTAGGTCTCTCACAAGCCCAAATCACTCACTCATGCTCAAGCTGCCTCTCTGCCATATGTGGCCCTCACAGCCTGGTCTGCCATAAACAAGATTGGTGGCCTGAATGATAAGAATTGCACAGGAAAACGGTGAGTATCAGTGGTGGCATCTAAGACTCCCTTCTTTCATTTGGTGACGTCTCTGCAGTACGTTTGTCAGAAGCATGAAAACTAGGCTCGCTTACATGAGCAGAGTTGTGCTAACAGTTAAAACAATTTCCAAAGAACTCTTGTGCCAGTTTGTACTTTTTTAATCTCATTCTGTTGATCCTTAGCTCAATCAGTTGAGAATTTTGAAAATATATACATGGATGTTAGGAGTCTGAACCTTCTAAAATGATGCAAAATTTTTGTATGTCAGTCTCTGGGAAGAAGATCCATAGCTTTCATCAGATTCCTAAAAAGGTTAAGAATGACTTCCTTACAGATTTTAAAGAATGATGGAGTTGCTCTCACACTTGAAGCTTTCTATGAAAAACAGATATAAAGGGTTTGAATATTGTTGAGTTCTCTTAGGCTCTGTGCTCTCTCAGGCTCCTTTAGGCAGCTCTGGTGCTTCCAGGACTTGCAGGTGTGCTTGCTGAGTTTGCAAAAACACAGTGAGTGTTAGATGTTCTTGAGTTCATATTCAGATTCTGCTGCTTTCTAGCTGGGTGACCCACTTGGACACTTCTCTTTTGTGAGTTTTGTTTTAGGGGTGAAATGAGATAACACATATAAAATCGGTGGCACAGGCTGTGGCACACAGAAGGCACTCAGTACATGGTGGCTGCTGTTCTTAGCAATGCAACTACTGTGTTCTTTGTGTTTCAGAAAGTTGGCATCATAGAGAAAACGGATGATTTTATTATTTGGTGAGAAAACTAGGTCCTCAGAACCATTCAGTGATTGTGATGAAGGAGAGAGCTGTAGGTCAAATTTTGTTTTCTGATTGCTAAAGACTGTGCCGGAAAAATAACAAGTCTGTGTCAATCTATACTCCTGTTGTTATGAAACATTGCACTTTACCTTTAATGTGTTGGATTATAGACATTGAATTTAGTGAACGCTTAATAGCTGTATTTCTGAAAGCAGTATAAAGGCTATTCATCTAATGAGGTGCTACCCTTCATCATAGAATTCAAGGTAAATATTCTAAAGGTCAGTGCAGTTTAATTTTTAAGCTTTTGGGCCTTATCATTCTTGAAGTTGCCATTTTGGTCCAACACTTTGTTTAAATTAAATCAGTTTGATCATGTAGATTTTTCTAATGGTTTGTCTTAGTTAATAATAACCTTGCAAAAATCGTGTTCAGGATTTTTAGACGTTTATTATTATTGTAGGCTCTGCAGTGACATTGATGCTTTGTTTTGCTTTTCCTTAAAAGCATTCAGCTTTCTGTGCCCCCATGACCACTCCAGATAGAGTGCTCTCATTCCTTTTGCTGGTTCAGGCCCTCCAGGCATACATTTTTTAGTATTCTGTAGAAAATGAGTTAGAAACTGATCTATCTCTTGTCTTCCCAGTTTATCGTTGGCGTTGTAGGTACTATGTTATCTTCTGTTTAAGCAGTAATGGCTGGGAGCTGGGGAAGTAGAGACCTGGGTTCCTCTCTCTACACTGCTACTAACTAATCAGCTGACCACATACATGCTTTTTATGGTCTCTTTGCTGTTTCCACCAAGTTACTGAGTGTAGGACAATGTAGGTTGTTAGGCGAGCTTTGAGAAGTGGAAAGTTTTATACTTATAGAAGTGATTTATATATTATATTGAGTTGCGTCAGTTCATTGATTTAGCCACATGTTAACCACACTGGAATGAAATCCACTGTAAAGAGCCTCACTGGCTCATATCATGGACTTGTGTCACATTCCCACATGTGTGGTGACTCAGGATGCCTTTGTTCCGAGTGGCAGTGAGAGCTTGTCCCTTGCTGCTCTAGGAAATTTGTTTACTGAAATTATTACACATGGGTAGTAATAATGGCCTTCCTCTCCAACTCCTTATTTTTATTTTTTTTTAGAAATTTTAATAATTAATTTTTTGGGGCTGCGTTGGGTCTTCGTTGCTGCGCGCAGGCTTTCTCTAGTTGCAGCGAGTAGGGGCTACTCTTCGTTGTGGTGCATGGGCTTCTTGTTGCGGTGGCTTCTCTTGTGGAGCACAGGCTCTAGGCGCGTGGGCTCAGTAGTTGTGGCTCGCGGGCTTTAGAGCGCAGGCTCGGTAGTTGTGGCACATGGGCTTAGTTGCTCCGTGGCATGTGGGATCTTCCCGGACCAGGGCTCGAACCTGTGTCCCCTGCATTGGCAGGCGGATTCCTAACCACTGTACCACCAGGGAAGTCCCTCCAACTCCTTATTTGTGAGAATCACATGAGAGATGTGAGCACCTTAAAATACTGTAAAAATAATTTTACATGAAGAAATTACTATTATAGGGGGACTTTACTAACTTAAATGCAGAGGTTCCGGTGTCCAAAGTGGCTTTTTTCAGTTTGACTATCCTTTGTGATTGTTGGAGCATATTTTGGCTTCTCTAAGCAATAATTATTCTTTTACTGTTAGCTCTCGGCATTAAGGTAGTCTTTAGTCTGCACAAAGCAAATCAGTGTTTGTCATCAAGGACCAACAGTGTTTTTCTAGCCAGTTAATTAAAAAACCCTAAAACTAACAATGACATAAACACCCACCTTGAAAGATTTTACAGGATTTCTTTGTAACAAACAGCTTTTTGAAAGTAAGACAAAGCTTTCTAAGGCCTCGATGGTGTTTTGCTTTTCCTTCTTTGTTCTATAATTATATTTCTGTAACAACTGAGCATCAATTAACCAAGGGGATAATTTAATATTGACGTCATGTGTGTTTTTTGCCCATGCTTTGGTATCACTAGAAAAGTCAGACGAAATGATTTCCCTGTTATCAGCCCATCCATAGTTTCTTCATGATTTATTCCGTAGGAACACATAGATAACTTAGGGTTCTCAAGATGAATAGAACTTTTTAAAAAAGTGGTTACACCAGATATTTTTGGAAAGGGGTTCTATTTGATGGTTCTATTTATTGGTAGTGTCATGCTCTGCCTGAAATTCATCTCTTGCTGCGAGGTTGTACTTCACTGTTTGACAGAGGTATTAGAAAGCGTTAGAAATTGAACCATTCCTCCCCCGCGAAATAAATTTCACTTTCAAATTGTGTATACTTGAAACTCAATGAAGTGGATTTAGGAATGCTTTTCCCTTTTTCTTTTTTGAGATTAGGCTTTACGACAGTAACACTTAGTCATGTAATTGTAAATTAGGTGTCTGATTAATTCTGTTTATAGAATTAGACAGGCTCAAACATAAAACATTGTATCGCCCGCCACCCCATATGCTTACACCGGTAATTACAACAGCTTCCTTCTTTCAGCTGCCTTCGCCTGCCTGTCTTTCCCCCACTCGACCCACCTGTTCCTCCGCCCTCTCCACTCCCACCACCCCTGGGGACTTTGGGTTTTCATTTGCACTTTGACTAGGTTGTACGGGGAGACGGGAAAGGGGAAAGAGAAGGAAACCCCTGTGGTCTACTTGCTTGGAGAAATCCTGGGGTTGGGAGGAAGGGTGCTGGCTCTGGCCTGGCTGGTGTGCTGCCGATGAATCGTCTCCACCCCAGGCCTGTTTTCCAGGGAGCTCCGGGAGGGATCTGTTAAAGGAATTAGTAGCAAACTCTTTCCTGGCCATTTGTGTTTTACAGATAGTTGCCCCTGTCACCTAGAAAACTATCTTGTGACGTTTAGGAGTCGTTCACTCTTCAGTGCACCGTAACCTCACTTCCGGCTTTGCCAGTCAGGTGCAGGTGTTCTCACCGGGGTCATAGCTGACCGAGTTGCCAACCCAACGATACTTTTCAGTTCTTACAATTTGACCTCTGAAGTCTCTGGCACTGTTGCCCACTTTTGTTATGCTCACTTTTTCCATGGTTTCAGGGACACTAAACTCCTTTAGTTTTCTTCTTGCCTTTTGAACCAATTCTTATCATTTTTAAAGGTTCCCTTTCCTCCCCCAGCCCTTGCACTGTACCTGCTTTCCCGTTGTCTCCCTCCGTCTTTCCTGTCTCCCAGGGTTATCTCATCTGCTCCCAGTTTCTTTATATATATATATATACATATATAATTTTTTTTTTTTTGTGGTATGCGGGCCTCTCACTGTTGTGGCCTCTCCCCTTGCGGAGCACAGGCTCCGGACGCGCAGGCTCAGTGGCCATGGCTTACGGGCCCAGCCACTCCGCGGCATGTGGGATCTTCCCAGACCGGGGCACAAACCCGTGTTCCCTGCATCAGCAAGCGGACTCTCAACCACCATGCCACCAGGGAAGCCCTCTTTTTATATTTTGGTAACTTGCAGATCCTATTTCTGACCCCATCCTCTCTACTCAGTTCCATCCAGTTAGGTGTCCCCTTTGCAGCTGAAACTCAACTTGTGCAAAACAAGACTTACTGATGACCACCCTGACGCTTTCTCTATATTCCTACTGTCAGTTAACTGTGATTTTCCATAAGCCAACATATGGTATTGTTCCCAAACCCTGCTCCCTCCCCTTCTGTGCAACTCGTTATTGTCCATGTCATGTGAAATTTAGGATTCTTGTCAGATTTGGAAAAATGTCTTCCAAGTTTCTTTATGAGTTGCAAGATTCCAGGGCATCTCATGTTTCCTTGTGCAGTGAATAAGCCCAAAATACTTTTGCATTTTAATTGACAACCTTCATTTACTAGCTTGTTATTGATATCTTCCCTATAGTGGTATCAAATGACAAAAATAATACAATTTAATAACCAGTTTAATATCCTTTATTCAATGGAAAACCGTCCACAAGTGGCGGAGCTCTCTTCCCAAGGGATTTTGGGCAAGACTGTTAGAAGTGGCAACACAGAAACAAGGCGTGATTGGCTAGGAGGTCTGATTTCCCTATAAGGCTAGCAGGTGCTGGTTTCTAGGGTGAGGTGAGCTAAAGCTGAGTTGAAGGATGGTGATTAGTGCTAGGTTTCCTTGGCAGTGAGGCAGGCTGGGACATGGGCTGGGCCACTGGGGCGGCCTCCATTTTGTGGGTCCTGCATCACAAATTACCTTTATCA